CGCACTGGGCTTTTCGTTTAAGATGCGTTCACACGCATGTCAACCGTATCGCATTCGACTGCGAACCTCACAAGGGAGCAATGTAGACTAGTTTCAGAAGATCGTCTGCAAACAGCTACCTTCTCGTCTCCACATCTCCCACACTGATACACTCCTCATGCCTTAGCAGCTCCTGACTATCCTATCCATGTGCAACACAAACAGGAGAGGGGCAGAACGCAGCCTTGGCAGTGACCGGTGCCAGCATTAGAATGCCTCGCCTTAATGCTATTTATTCTGAACGATTTTCCGTTTTCGTTCCATTTTGGGATCAGTAACAACGAGGATGTTACTTTGCAACTTTGCTATGAAATAATTTTCTTATTATTTTTGGTTTATTTTAAGCTTTAATTAAGGACGTCTTTTTTTACAAGCGTACCGTCTCTAATGGAAACAATATTTTGGTACATGTTTATTTGCTTTTATGATGTTTGTTTAGACGGTTCATCGCCCGCCTGCTGGTCAGTCGATGAAACAGCCGCCAATGATTTCGAAGCAGCTGCAGCCGTGCTCCACGGAGATTGGACGTAGTGCGGAACTGTTGTGCGAATTCACCGGGGACAAACCCCTGACGATTAACTGGTTGTTCGATGGGAAGCCCATCACCAGCTCTTTCGAATTTCAGGTAGGTGGTAACGTTGTTCGTAATTATCGACTTTCCTAACAGCAGGAAAACGACTGGTAGTTTAAAATGTTACTATTTTGGTTAAGTTCTGCTTATCAATAAATCAGTCGACGTTTACTAGCTTATCCAACTAACGAGTCTGCCATAATATAGAAAATTCAGTAGGAATAAGACGTATTTCACGACGCTGATAACGGCGTCTGTGAACAAGAATGGTACATTAAGAGCTATCATCATTGCTCTCCGTAATCCGTAATCAGAATGAGTTCGTTGTAGTGTTCACTAGTGACGGAACGTTCTCCGATGCAAATGGCAGAAATGTCAGATATTGTGAAACAGTTGATTTGACAACATTGTGAGGATCAACCAATATTCCCTGGTTTAGCTGATAGCAATATCCAAATCTTCATTGGCCTACAAAGGTTTGTAGTTGTTTCCATAGGAGGAGCACATTGATGCAAATATGATTAGAAATATGCAAATCAGCGATGTGGAAAGCGAATTCTGTTGTGGTAGCGGAAATTAGACACTAGATATTAAATGGCTGCTCCCATCGAAATTCGTTCGTGAGATATTTTCTATAAAAACGGAATCATGGTATAATTTTTCAGAATTCGTAATTTAGTGGTGCAAAAAAAGAGGTCTCCTTTAAGCAGTTCGATGTTGCAACAACGTTAGTAATATTCGATATAAATTTCAGGACACTTTCAATCAATCGGTCAATATCATTTTCATCATCATCATCATCTTCCATCGCCGCTTCTCCTTTCGGGTCGCGGAGGCAGACGCGTCAGACAG